TTTAAATGATACACGGCCTTCTAGGACAGCAATGGTTGGCACACTTACTGATGAATGTCAGCGGCCTAATGCACATACCTACTTAGAGAATGCGGCACTACCAAAACTTCGCCCACCACACAGGCAGCCTGGTTTTTCTGGGTTGCCTCTCGTATATACTTAGAATCTTAGATCAAAATAGAGTTACCATCAGCAGACAGAGGATTAAATAGAGAACGAATTCCTATTAAAAAATCCATATTTTGAAATACCTTTCCAAAGTAAAAGTACCATGAGTAGTGCTTTTACTTTGAAAAGTACTTTTACTTTAGTAGAACAAAGGTACCTACGAGTAAATTTGAGTGTACTATCATAAACGCACCAGCCACTAAGACATGATCACTTGAAGAGTCAAAAATAAGGTCAACAGGTCTCTTAATGAGGCTCCAGGAACGCTGCAGCTGCCATGAAGAGTTGACTGCTTGCCATACAAGCAGCTTCTTATGAGACGTGATGGCGGCCAAAAATTGCTCGCAGGAACTGATGCAACAGCCTGTCACAATCTCCTTCTCTAAAGCTTCTTCAGGCCCACACTTCGATGCTGTGTTCTCTGACCTGAGTACATACAAAACATCAACTTCTGAAAATCTACACACAAATAATAATCAGCCAAATAAATTTCATACTTCAACAAATAATCATACTTATCAATAATTCCCTAATTTTTATTCATTACTCAACAATAGCTCGTTTGTCTTGACTTTTATAAGCTACTTCCATCATGGCAATGTATAATTTTGCATACATCAACCTCAGATGATAACATATTGCTCTCCAGCAACTGTGATTAATGTTGTTAAATCTTGCACTATTCTGCAGGATATACCCGACCTCAGTTTGTATTTTTTTTGTTTGCAACAAGTTAACTCTTCTTCTTGATCTGACTCCAAAAAAACATAATAATTAGTCAGTCATCAAGGATACAGAACTGATTTACACCAATTATTTCCTTTCTTTCATTCAAATATTCAAGCACCCAGAAAGTTGACCATCAAATTAATTATCATTGCTTTCATTGTTAAATTTTGCCGTCATGAAAATCTATTTCAATTAGAAAGAGAGCTATTATCAGTAAACTAGCTACAAAAACGCGTTGCGCTAAAAACTTTAGAGCTCACAAATAAATATAGGACTACCTAATTGTCTAACATAAATTAACAATTCCAAAAATGCAAACAAATGTAATCTTACAAATATATCAAACTTCTGACAATTATGTTGGATTTGAAAGGTAAAGCTATTCCACCAATCAGTTAATTCAGATGAAAAGGAAAAAAGGTTATGAAATTTAATAGGCTTGACAACTACAGCTATCATGAGCTCTTAGAGCCCTTCCTCACTATAAATGAGTTTGCAAAAGTTTGAGCATATATATGAAGAATTGCAACAATGGGCTCTGAGCGCAAGTCAAATTTTTCATACCAATTAGACCTTACCCATTGTTGGAACTGTCTTCATTTTGGTTCCTGGCAGTTGATAGATTTGCTTCTTCTTCAAGCAAGTTGATGAAAGTAAATAGCCATTCATTGCTTCTGAAAAATACAACTTTAAATAATGGTCAAATTTTATAAGCAAAAATAAGTTTTAGTTTTTTCAACCATCACTTCTCCTAAACAATTAAGTCAATCTCAATAATGAACAATAATTTCTACTAATTTCAAGCTCCACACTAAGATCATCATTTAAAAATGAAAAATAATAAATTTGCTGTTAAGAGAATTGAACTTCAAACCATTTTCAGATTCATGCATCTATTTGATAACATCTCATTGCATTTGTAAAATTTATTGCAGTACATGTGATGTAATGACTTTAATCAAGGTAAGATATCAACAGTAGTAAAACAACAGCTACTAAAAATAGTAAACAGCTCAGCAGAAATTGGGCAAGTAAAAGGAGTTAAAAAAGTTGAGAGATCAAGGCCATATTTAGGATAAAGCATGAATGTTCAAATTTGAATCAACTTGCAATGTTTGTGGTCATTATGCTTTTAAAAACTATATACATTTATACTTAAACTAATACTTGAAAAAAAGTTACTTCTTTAAGTGAAATTATAAGTACCTCTTAGAACAGATGAGAAGAGCATCTGAACAGCAAAAAATACAGTGGCTCTTGGAAGATAAAGAAAGCTTCATATTATAACATGTAAAAATTAGTGAAGCAACAATTTTTTAAGCAGTTTCAGCTTTCTAAAATATAAAAAAAATTGATGATTCCAATTATGGTTTTTTAAGCTTGAAAATTTGTAGCTGTTGAATGATGTACGGTATTGAGTACAAGCCAATCTGCAAAATAAGTACTACCTATGTACCTAAATATTGAGCACACAACTTAAATTTGTAGTGGCAAAAATTTTAAGCAAGAAGGACTCCTGCATATCAAATCACTGTGGGTGTGGAATGAGAAAAATCAATAGCAACTTAAATTTGCATAAAACTAAAGCTTAATCAAGGCCAAAGGGCAACTGTTTGAAATAATTTAGACTTGTAGGCTTGAAGCTTTGTCATAGTGAAGCTGTTTATTAATGAAGCCATATTATTTGAACCCATACAAGAATTTATTCAGTCCCTTTAACATCAGTGTGCTACCCTGGTCCACCATTCATTTGGCAATACACATAGCATATTATTGACTGTACATAGTTCAATGCCAGCTGCTGCTGACAGCCATGGCAGCTTCAGCTGCATGATGATGCAATCATATCATTGCACCACACAGCTCAGCTTGCATCCATGCACATGCATTTGATTAGTGACCATTGCTGGGGGCTGCTTTCAAAGCTGGCTCCCCCTGCCTACTCTGCATAGCCATCTGCATGAATTCATCAGATTGAGATAGTCCTGCAAGAATTGCATAGACCATTGATTTAAGAAAGCCCTTTTAGCATGGAAAACTTCCTCATATACATACATCTTCCTAATTGTGAGCCAGAAGCCCAGAAATATCTAAAATTTCAAGATTTATTGTAAAACTATATATAGAAGAAAGAGCAATGAATGGGCAAGATCTTCTGAGATCTGAATATTCACATTTAGGATTGAAATTAGTAACATATTGGAAACCTAGTTTCCAAGACTTGATTCCACAAGGGATCCACCTTTTGAACCCGATCTTTCCATAACTGTCAATTGTTTGAGATAGCTGCTGGACTGGTCTGTAAGGTGCTAGGCAGTTCAAGACTGAACATATGCTCCTGCATAGCTTTGTCTAGTCTGTTCCTGAAGGCATTCATACTAGGAGCATCAACAATGCTGTCTGGGAGGCTGTTCCACTGTCGGTGACACGAAGCAAGAAGAAATGTTGTCACTTGGATGTGTTACAATGCAGCATTTTAGTTTACAGCCGTGGCCACAGTATAATTTATAGACACACTATACCGTATCTAATTAAACCCTATCTATTCACTTTCTTTCAATTCTCCATTAGACCGTAACAGGATTCAACCATTAGACCGTAACAGGATTCAAATCTGGGATCGTTACACTATTCAAACTTCCATTTTGATACGCATGCAGTTTTGGCACTCGCTAATTGTTTGCACGCCTGAGCTTGTAGGATAGTATGTTTTTTTCAATGTGGAAATGAATATGATGACAGCCTATGGATTGTAATGATTGTAACTAGCATGCAACCCAGAATGTCACATGCTAGAATGTATATTGTAATGTGGAATCGAGCCATGAGGCACCTCATGAATTGTAAAGATAATGCCAACACAACCCACTGACACAGTACAATTTATCTGATGCAAGTTCAGCGGAAGTTCAGGTGCAAGTTCTGCTGAACACACTCAGATTGTGATCAGTCATTAGTCACATTGTCAGCTTAAAGTCATCAGTCACATTATCAGCTAAAGTCATCAGTCACATTATCAGCTAAAGTCATCAGTCACACTATCAGCTTTGACGTCTTAGCAAATATGGAACATCTGTTTAAGACTTTAACATAGTGATGTCGGCACTGAAGTGTAGGCCTGATGTGGCCTATAAGACTTTAAGAGCTTGCAACATCATATAATCAAAGCTGAGCACGGAAGAGCTCAGCGCCACTTCACCTGAATAAACGCTGAGCCTCTTCTTATCAGATATGCGTGCACGTGTACTCAAACGAATTTTGTTCGAACACAACTAGAGCTTCTTTTAGTAAATAACTTTCCATGGAAAAAAATAGGAAATTTAAAGAAAATTCTATCATCTTCGCTTATATTTTCACTTTATTTTAGATATTTTTAATTTTTTTTAAGCTGAAAGTTTACATTTTCCTGATAAATTGTCCAATCTGAATATCAACAATTGATCAATTGATTGTGGATCTAGATGCCACTAGCTGAGTAGCTGTGGTGATAGATAGTCTCTGACAGACAGCTGTAAGCATGCAATGGACCAATAAAACCAACTGATTCAATAATATACAGCTATAAAGTCAGACCATGTATCGAACCTAGTCACTGCTCTTCTAACAGCCTTTCGTTCACGACGCGTTTTGCCTTAGCCTATTATCGCTTAAGCCTTTGCGACTACCAAGTACCAACATGATGAAATCTGTCGGTCTTGTCCTTCTCACAGCAACCTTTGCCTACTCCGGTGCTGAAGGATAAGTGAACTCAGCAATTGCATTTGTGCACTGTGCTCTCCCCTCCTGCATGTTCACCTTTATCCCATGTAATAAATTATTAGCTTATATTGCTTTGTGCTCTAATTTTGCACAGCCACAACATTCAACAAGTCTATTTTGAAAAATTTGCTAAAAAGTTGCATTTCGCAGTAAAATTTAGGGCTGTGCTTCATAGCCATAACCATACTCCATCGCCTATGGATATTACTTATTTTCTTTACTAAATGGGAAATGTTCATTTTCGATGTTACTCACCTAGTGTATTTATTCGTTTTAATGTCTCTACCCCAGTGCAAATGCGTGTGCAACGGTCCTCCAAGCCAAATGGTTGAACTACGGTGGAAGCTCCATGCCGCTTTCTGCCTTTACCGCCTGCAGTTCGGATCCGGCGTCACAGGCCGCCTTGAATGCCGTCAACGGAGGTTAGATATTGCAAGATTTATTACCATCCATTGATTGATCTGAAATTTTCTACCATTGAGCTACTCTATGCGAAATTTACTTAATTTATTTTTTTTCCAAAACTCAGTTCTTGGGTTTTTCTCTTAATTATTGGGGTTATCTAGAGACATATCTTGAAATAGTGAGTGGAAGCATCGCAAATTCACGAGTGATCTAAAACATTAAGTAGTAATTTGCGTGTTCTGCAGTTAATTCCGGCTGCATGGGCTACAACTTCCTTGTTGGCCCTCTCAAATGCGAAGTTGGCATGGCTCCCGTCTTGAAATGTTTAGCGGGAAAACTTGGTTACGTAAGTCAATAAATATTGCTAAAATGCCATTTAATTGTCCGTCATGAATTCTACTTTGAATATTATCTGACACTATTTGTGTTTTGAACATGACAGCTCATAATGTGAACAACGCTCTATTTTGTGCACCGTTAGAGATATATTTTTCAAACAATTTCATAAGGTAATAAATTATATTATGAATTTACCATCCTCATAAATGTGAATACAGAACTCATTCATTCAATTCTAGTTGAAAGCTGATGGCTCCATCAACAACACAAAGATCTTCGCCCAGTTTAAGACTGATGCCACCAGCGACCCTACGTGCAACCTTGCTCAGTACAACTTCGCTGTGAATAAATGTGGTACTACCATCAACAACTACGCGGTAAGTTTTCTTGCCTTTAGCGGGACACGCACCAAGTTATTTCATAGCAGAAGAATAAGTTAAGATTATGTCGAACTGAATTTCTGTCAAGTGTTAACTTAGAAGCCGGGTAATAATTTGAATTACGACTACGTGGAAATTTATGTAAATCATTCTTAGCTCCTGTGAAAATACGTGTCGAAATTGTAGACCATCTAGCAAGTTTCTTTGATCTAGTAATCCTTTTTTCTTATGCGAATGTGACATATGATTGCCTTCGAATCTGTATCTGAAAGTTTTCTGTTGCTATAATGAACTACCGCAAACAGTTCCTGGCGAAGGTCTACTGCATCATCACGGCAACGGATCAGTACACTGGGTGACCTGGGCCTTATTCCTGCATTGAGATGGCGGCTTTGAAGTGTTCACAATATACAAGGTCTGAAACAACAGGTGCACAATAATAATTAGGGGACCACTTTCTCCAGTTAATGCATCCACGTGCAGTAAAAATTGTCTAATCAGAAGTTCATTGTAATTTGTGAAATTATAAATTCAATAACATCCTATTATAAATTATTATTATATTCAACAGGGAAATTGAAACACTTCTGTAACAGGCTAACAGCGAATCATGTTGCATATATTGTGTCAAGAAATTTCCATTTGATGCTCTTGAAATTATTAGAATTAGAGCTCAATGTAATGTGGCTTGTGTAGAAGTTTAAATATCAAAGCGTAAAACGAATCATTACAACTTAAATATAATCAGAAATCCTAATGGGCCAAGCGTTCCTTGCCCTGCTGCGAACCTCTGCACTTGTTTTTACTTCTCCTGACATATTGAAAAAGTATCTGAACACTTCAACAATGGAACTTTTACACAGCTTTGGCAAAATAATTTACAATACATTATGTGCATGAATATGTTGTTTTGATTGGCCCTTTTGTTGAGGATAAAATATTGGGTTGTCTGTTGCCCAAACCTCTCCATGTTGAAAGCGCATTCAAATTATGAGGTAATTAAATAATTTTTAAAGTAAAGTATACATAAGAAATGTAAACACAAAAGACCCAAGAAACTAATAGTTACAATTAAGTGGCAGAGACGCGATGCATTTAGTTTGGAGAGACAAATCGCTGTCTGTAACTTGAAGTAAGTCACGAACATGCATTTGGGGACAGAGAAATGTTAGAGAGACGTCGTAGGGGCATGAAGATGAAATGATAACTGGAATGAAGAGAAGGAGAGTGGTTGAACAGAAGCCACTATTGTTCGTCGAATACCATTTGTTACCATATATGGAATAATGTTGATCAAGATGAACATAATTTGGAAGTGCTCAAATGATATTACTATCAATGCGATCATCTTAAGCGAAACCAGCTACATTCATGAAATCAACTAGCTACATACATGAAATTTGCTAGAAATCGAGTCATCGATATATTTCAAATGGAAAAAATAAATCCTTTCATTCTTGAAAAAGTTTATCAATGTTTGTTACTTCGCTTTGAATCAACCCCATTCATGTTTAATGCGATCGATAGCTTTATATATAGAGATCATTTATATCACACTCCTGGCTCAAAAAAATTCCGGCTCCGAAATACAAATAGCGGTGTTTGTAAGTACGTTAATTTCGGAGGTTTTAGTATTGTCATAACGGGTTATGTATATGTAGTGCCGTCTCGGTATTCGCCTGAAAATTACTTCTTGTGTGGTTTTCCGGCTGCTTAAATAATTTATTTGATCATCTTCTCGAATTTCAAACCGGAACGTTTCATTATAATCAAATCCGGAATCAAAACTGGAAAGTTTCATAATAAAATCATTTAATTTCAAGACAGTTTCAAAACTGTATAGCTTTTCGTCTATTCGCAAATACCAGAAGTCCCTTCCTGAATGAGCATATTTACCTGTGACCGCTTCTGTATATTAAAGTGCTTATAACGGCAAAATAAAAATTAAGAATCAAAGTTTGTTTCTCATTGACTTGATGTCAAAATATTTTAGAAATTATCCCTAATTAACCCTTATAATTTCGAATTATGTCGTATAATAAAGACTTTGAAGCAAGTAGTTCCAACTCTTTTTAATTTTAATTCCCTTTCTTGACTGACGAGACTATGTGACGCCCCGTCACATAGTATGAATAATCATCATTTAATTAATGGTCAGAAATGCTTCAACTATGCTTCGAGGGCATTCATTATGCTATGAACAATTTTTAGTCAATTTTATAATACTCTCGTTCTAAACGAGTTTCGTTAGGAAAAAGTTTCATTTCAGTAATAATACTAACATTATAATTTAGTTTCAATGAAGAATGAATTGTGAATTATCGTGTATTTTTGCGGACATTTTACCTTGATTTATGTCACCCGTCGGCTGCTGCTTCTGCTGCTGCTGCCCGACGGCTGCCGATCCGACTATCGTCAGTTATGGAAAGATCGGGTACCAAAGGCCGGATCCCTTGTGAATCAAGTCACGAAAAATTCAAGAATCGGCAACAGGCCATTGGCCTATTTCTTCAGTGCCGACACTTCTATTCTATTCTATAAAGTTGAGCCAGCAAGTTGGCGATGGGGGCAGCAGCAGTGCTTCGGTAGAGCCGGAAGGACTAGACCACTTGGGTCCGTTATCAAAGGTCTGTCTTTGGATGGCCCGTGGGTCTTGGGTACGTTATTATTGGTTGGTTTTTGGGTCCGTTTGTGTTGAATTGACTCCTCAGCTAGGCTGTGTCTCGACTGTAACGGCACCGATACTATTCCTATGCAGTCCTCTTAATACCAATTGGCTACATGCAGGCAGTAAATCAGTGCCGTTTAAGCAGTAGCTTCTATACGGCCGTCCGATGGTCCGCGATGGGTTAACACATAAGCCGAGATTTCAGTATTTTTTCGATGTGTTGTGCTCAAAAGTTCAGAAAGTTGAGAAACATGATTGGTATCTCGTTTATCCGGCAGCCCCTTTATCCGAGAGTGCAGCCCCATTATGACTGAGGGAACGCATGTACATCTTGATGGATTACTTATATTCAACTTGAATAAGTAGGGAACTTCTNATTGAAAACTTATTTCCTGCACTTCTACTGCACTCTTAAGCTATAATACAGGGCGGTGCAGATGAACTTGCTTTTTTGAATTAGACTTCCTGAAGTGTGATTAGCTATGATTACTTAAAAAGGGGCTTAATCATGAGCGCAAACTGTTAAAGTTTCGTTCATATAATGAGCCGCATAAATTCATTTTATTTTTTATTTGCAGTAGTCATGGAATGAACGAACGTGGAACGTGCATTTGCGGTTGAGGCATGTTTTTCATGTGATAAATCAATCATCGCCACACAGCGTGCATTTCGTCAGCTCTTTCATGCATGTTGCACCTCGTGGCCGTGTTCCAGGACGACAGTCAATCTGTTCGTGGGTGAATTACTTCTGGAAATCTGGAGATGTGAAGAAGAAGAAGAAGCCTGCGCATGGCCTCCAAAGAACTGCAAGATCTCCATGGAACATCGAAGCGGTGCGGCAATCCATCTTGAGGTCTCCCCGACGATCCACTCGCAAGCATGCATCAGCTCTTGGGTTATCCGCTTGTTCTGCTAGACGGATCCTTCACGAGGAATTGAAATTGCGTCCCTACAAGATTGTTGTCGCCCAGGAACTGATTCCTTGGGACTTCGATGCTCGTGAGGCTGCGTCTAGGGCCCTTCTCGACTTGCCTGAAAACACGCTTGTAATCTTCAGCGATGAGGCGCACTTCCTTCTTTCTGGGGCTGTGAATAAGCGGAATGCAATTTAGGGGCACTGAAAACCCAAGAGAACTTCACCTACGACCTCTACACTCTCAACGTGTGCTGTTTGGTGCACAATATCCCGCGTTGAAATGATCGGTCCTTGATTCTTCGAAGAAAATGAGAGGACAGTTTCGCTGACATCTGTGCGTTACGTGACGATGTTACAGGATTTCGTCTTGCCAAAACTGAATGAGATGAGCTTAGACGACGTTTGGTTCTAGCAAGATGGTGTAACTGCGCATACATCAAGAGCATTCATGGTTCTCTTGAACGAAGTCTTTCCTGTGCACGTGGTCTCTTATGGGGGCAGTCTTCAGTGGCCAGCCAGGTCTCCTGAACTTGTACCCTGGGATTATTTCTTGTGGGGACATCTGAAGTCCGTCGTGTACCATGACAGACCCAATAACCTTAACCAGCTCAAGAACAACATTCGTGAAGCAGTCGCCAATATTCCTTTTGAGATGCTGGAAAGAGCCGACACCAATTTCTGGACACGACTGACACAATGTGTTGACGACAATAACGGACGTCATTTGCGTGATATTTCTTTAGAACTGGCAAATTGTAAAACTTATTTGTTTTGATTATACTATCAAAAAATTCATTTGAATATAGTAAATACTTTCGTTATGATATGTTTCAAATAAGCAAGATTTTCTGCCCCGCCCTGTATTTCTGAGTGTCCGCTTCCTTTAAAATTGTGATCAGTGATCACATACATTAGATTCTAGATCCATGGGGAGATCCATGTTCCGGCAGTGGATACAATAAATCATATTAAAATTGATATAAAAATTAACCCTCCACCGCCGTATGTCACTCTCCGGGAACATAACTTTCAACTTGAATTATACGTAAACTACTGAGTGTAGCAACCTGAGCACGCGTGTACGCAATAGAGAACATTTTAAAGTTGTCGTACGTGGCGGCAACCATCAGTGCAAGTTATTTTTTGCTCACTATATACAAGATATCCATTTTGGGAAGTAGGTTTGTGGACAATATAGCTCCGGTTACTCACGTACGTCATGCGGTAGACTGGTAGAGGGTTAATGTCAAGAAGTAAATAGAGGCCATACGGGTCGAGAATATATTTTAATCATACTGAATTTACCTCAAAGGTATCAAATGATCAAATTCAGTAAATCCTACGTATTAATACTTTTACGTCTAATTTATCGGAATCATTCATCAAGCATTAAAAACTTGTCTTATAACTTGATAGGATCGAAGCTTAATCTTGAATGTAACCAATTTTTGCGCACATAATTCTATTTGTCATAAACAAGTAAAGGTTTAATTTACACGCGAATGGTGCTCGGGAGCTGTTCACGCCGCATGAAATCAACGTTATGAGACAGCGAACGTATGAAAAATTGGGAATGTGGTACCATATTGGCGGCTAGCTTCTGTACTCATTTTGATATGTGATTTGGGATCAAGCTTCTCCGCAAGTACACAAAAAAAACACTTAAGAAGCAATCACGTATACATTTTTTTACGATTTATAATTTTCAATATAATTCTTGGTCATTGTTTGCTGGGAGTATGCCGGGCTATTGCTAGATTAAGGCTCATCGTGGCTACGGGCAAGTTTGGTCAAGTAAAATTAACCTTAGATACGCTACGTGTAAGTTAAATTAAATGGTATCATGAATGATATCATGAAATGATTTAAATTCTGCATCAACATGAATATTAAGAAGCGTTCGGCTGATGCGTATCGGCCACAAGCTTGTTTGTGGTGCAGAAGACTAGTGATGGTGGCGGTGAATGCCAGGACTTTAGAAAAAGTTGACAAGTTTGGAGTTCCGGGCCTGTCTGAATGTAGCACTCGCGTCCTGCAGGGCTGCAAACTCGGGACCAATTTCCTGGAGAGGAAGGCGATATCGTTATTTTCCGTATTATAAATAAATATCGTTCCGTATATCGTTATCGTTTTATAAATAAATGCATCATGGCTTTATTCAATTTCAAGTAAAGTATTTGCGTACTTCGTGTATAGCATTAACTATAAATATAGAAGCATTCAAAGTATTGACAATGACAAACTAAGTTATTAAACAGTATCCTTGTCGACGTATGCAGCGGGACACACGCTTATTCTCATTTTCATCAAGCGTTTTCAATCACCTATGGAAAATATGTCAGTATTTCTAGATTCCACGGAAAAGCATAACTATTAAATTAGATAAATATTTTTTGGTCGTTCCAAAGTTCTAACGTCTGGGAACAAGTCTTTGCTCCGAGTCCTGGCTCACCTGCTGCGTCTCCTCCGTCCCTATTGCGCTCCGAAGTTTCTTCACTGAAAGACACAATGATTATGTTAGACATGAATTTATTAAATTTCAAATCATTGACAATATTTATGCAAATCCCGCGTCATATTTACAATTTTTTATGATTTTTATTTTTTTTATGATTAACCAAGAGCAACAGGTGCACTATGAGGTCATCGCGTTATGAATGAATAGATATAATCGGTCTTCGATTAATATTTGTCCTTATCAGTTGAAGGCTGCACTTGTCGAGGTGATAAATATAATTGGTGATCGATATACGTATGTGCTTCTTAAGTTTTATGTGTTACTTAGGTAAAAATATTCAGGAAATTACAGTTCAATTAACATCGAAAATAATTGCTCATGAATAAACTTTGCAGTAATCACGGGACCAATGAATTAGAGTCAAATGAATCTTGTGTAACTCGGTGGAATGACATCCATGAAGTTGAAATTGGAGAAAATTTTTCTTCAGTTCAGAAAATATCCTGATGAACTGAAGATTATGAACCCTGTCATTCCTTAAGTTTGAACAGAATGGTTATGGCCACTAATAATTAATGTTGCTGACTGTGTTATGCGTAAGAAGCAAGTTTTATTAATAGTTAGAGCTGTTTTCTTACTAGCTCGAACAGAGTGACTCTTCATGAACTTCGTAGCCTTCGAGACGCTGGGCATCGCCTTCCCTATGTTGTTTGCAGCTGTCGAGCAAAATAAGATTCCATTAATTGATATGATTTAAAAGTAGGAGATATATACAAGTATTAATAATAGTATGTTGCGCCTGTCTCTGCTAATCACGTTGCATAAGAATGTTTGACTGCTTCCTGTAAAAATTGGCTTAAATGTTGGGATTGCAAGTATTAAACTTGAATGAACCCATTCTGAGTCTCAGTCCTCGCATATCTTCGAAAATGACAGCACGCTTGCGCTCAGCAGTCGTTTTGAACAAAATTTATAAATAAGAACAATTCAATTGATCTTAAGATTCCCTTGCTTCAGAGGAGGATGAAATGTACAAGAAATGGATGAATGTAAGCAGTTTACATGTAGTTAATATAGATTATTTTAACAATTCTTGATATGTAAATCAGGCCTAACACCTATTAATCTTTGTAATTCTACCTATGCCTCGATAATAATCTTATCTCTCTAGAAGATTGACTCATAAAAACCGTCCTGATTGATATACGCGCTCAAGCAACTCATGCGGCAAGTGAACCATGGATCTCAAATTGATTAGGCATGACTTCCGATATTACGATCCACAAAATCCTTAAGAAAGAAGCGAGTGATGTGGGTAGACGCTGATAGAAAAAGGCAGAGCGGCTTGTTAATCGAATAGAGTTGCTATAGCAAAATAGAGTTGCTATAGTTGTTGAATCGCAGAGTTAAGAGTGCCAATTGTACTAGCCTCAACAAAAAGTAGAAAATGAAATTGTAATATAAGAAAGCCATATAACTTTATATCAGACCGTTAACCTCCTGCCTCAGGCTTTGTACGTTTTCCAAGGGTCCTTTAAGTTAGATCTTGCATGCGAGGCATGTCCTCAACTGCGGCAGAGACTTATGAGCACCTAGAACTAATATTAGTTATTTTTTGTAGCTTAGCTGATATATTGAGCTATCTAAACTTGTTTTACACCTAGGGGTTTTTAATTTACGGTTAGGCTAAATATTGCTTTAAATTTAAGGCACTGGCCTTAACGTAGATTTTAGATTCCTGACATCTTTCGCTTTCAACTGTCGCAATTAATAGTTTAAAATGTATATATTACTTATCTAAACTGTAGCGTTTCCCCAAACTTTGAGAATTGACTTGGGTAAAACGCCGTTCAGTAGTCAATAACGCATAAATTCGATATCTTCAGCGATTTTGAAATACACTACAGCAATACGGTCATAACTGATATTGATTGATCGCACGCCGATTGATAACCTTAACATTACCGTTACAAAAAACATGTTGTTAAATTAAATGGAACGGAAAACTCAATGAATGCGTCAAAATTAACAAATCCACAGAATATATCTTGACGCTAACACGTTTTCGACAGCCTCTTTTATTGCAACACCCCCCTCATTACTTCTAACTTCAGAACAGCTCAACTCAATCAAGCTAGTTTTACTAGTCATTTTTCTTTGAATTTTTACGGAAGAAATTACCTAATTGCAATGCAATTGGAATTACTTTCAAATTCGATCTGCATTCTTTGTAATAATAATAAATTCCAATCTTTGGACAAGAACTTTCGAGCAGAAACTCGTACTATCCAAACGTATCAACAATAAATATTAAACAATTTATATGTTCGGCGAACCTTCTTCTGTCAAATTTTCGGTTTCGTGAGTGACGATCAGTAATCCCAACATACTTCAATACAGATATACTGCTCAACCTAGTCTGTCTGGGAGATAGCATTTTTTTCTGAATTTTCAATCGGACTATTTACTCATCCGCTGACCTCTGTCGACGTTGCCGCCGAGGCTGAAGCTCCGAGGTTCTCTCGCCATGTGCGTGTAAATTTCGAATGCTTTCTCCAAATCCTGAACCTGCGAAGCCTTCAGCTTTGAAGTCGGCGCCAAGCAAATGAAAACCCCTAAAAGAATTACATAAGGAGATGTGAGGCATGTACCAAAATATATGCCTACAGCCTAAAGTACCTAAATATAAGCATATTAAACTGATTCTCGAAACAATGTCAGTTGCTTTACGATTTTTATTATTCTCGGAATTTGAGCAAACAACAGAGACACCAATGAAATGTTTGCAATCAAATTGACTCTACCGGTTTTTTACAGATTTGCACAAAATAATATATTAGGCCGGGTCCGCACTATTTTTTATGCAACTTTGAGACTTGTAAAAGTACTTTTTAGAGTAACTTTCTCATTGGCAAGTTTGAATCACTAACTGACCTTCAGCTGCCTCGATGATGTAGTCGCCGTGTCTGTCCATCAAGACGCGTGTTTTCTTCTCCTCGAAGTTCCGAGCGAACAACTCCCCTCCGACCTCAAGACGAGCCTTTTCCGGGGAGCTGCGCGTGGTCGATGCTGATTTATTGGGAATAAATATTAATTTAATTCTGACTGTCGGTGCACAGAATAGTTTGAAATTACAGCAATCGATGTTATTTGAGTTTTTCAATCACGATTCGTTTCTAGTAATTTTAATGAAGGTAGTTTGTTCTGTCAATTCGCGTACGTCTTCTCTCACTTTTCCTGAGCAGCTGAATGGTCTGCCTGTTGAAGGGCGATGACACTCCTGCAGACGATAGGAAGAAAAGCTTGACTGCATCCCGCACGTGGAATATCTCCTGCCACTGAGCTGCGTCTCGTCCCCCGGCTTCTGCCACGTCGCGTGGTTCCGTTGACGTATTGGGTGATGACGAATCTTCTTGGGACTTGTGAGAGACATTTAAAATCAACATTTATGGGGCAAGAATTAGGTGGCTTGCCTCGCTCAGAGCAAAAAATTAACGCGAGCAGGAAATGCTTAAAGCAGAGTAAATTTTTTCACTACAAGAGAAGATATTTAGGAATTTTATTCTCCGAAGCTAGTAATTTGGTCAATGAATTTTGTATTATTTGTTTATTAATAGATTATCATCAGTTATCATCAATGGAGTACTCACATAGAAAGCCGAACGGCCGATGGTAACAGAATCTTTTTCTTCCTGTGTTTCTTCGGGGTTGTTGAATCGTACGATACTTGATACTTTTTTACGTCCTGGTTTCGTCGGTGCGTTGTTCATGTTTGGTTTTGGGCCCACAATGTTCTTGGTCGTCATGGACGTCTTCTTGTTCCGCTCGTCATGGACGTTATCCGAGAACGATGCTGATCCGGATTGTGGTTCACTCAGTTCCACCTTGCTAGGCTCATAAGTGTTTGCAGAACCTCCAAGCTCGATGATGGGTATGCTTGGATACAACGAGCGTCTTGTGTCGCTCACATCTGGTGAATTATTAAGTTCTTCATCAGGGGATTCATTCTGGTTGAAAATATCGTTAGTATTATCAGAAACTTCGATCATAGTAGGATGCTCTGCCATGGAAATCTGGCTTGCGAATTCATCCTCATTCCTGTCCATGGATCTTGCTGCTTCATGTTCTTCACCTATTCTTAAGCTCCTATCCATAGTTACATTTCCATTTGCCCTAATTGGATCGAACATGCGAAGAAGAGACTCATTTGATCTACTCATCTTCTTCAGCCTAGTCAGCGGGTGACGATTTGCATAGTTTGGAGTAGAAGTTACTGATTCAGGAAGGTTCATCACCGATTTGGATAATTGATTCCTCTTACAGTAGCTCGTTTCCAAGTTAGTGGATTGGTTTACAACCTTTTCATCAGTTGGTTGCTCAAAGGTAACTAGACCTGTAGACTGTGTGCCCCCATTATTAGTTTTTGACACTTTTGGAAAATTAATATTTGCCTGATTCTGATCTCCATGGGCTGCAGAAGTTTCGCCGTCATGCCCATACAATTTTTTCCTCATTTCCTGAGTCAGCTCTTCGAAGATATCCTCTGTCTTTGCCACCTCTCTTTCCGGCCCCAGAGCAGGCGAGATGTTCTCAGATTTAGAGTCTGCTTGAGTGAAAGGATTACTTGCAGCGTTGCTCGCATCTTTAACATCATCGAATGATTCAGTGAGATATGATACTTCTTGAGAAACAGCTTCTTCTCGGTAATCTAAGTTGCTCTCGTCGAATATATCACTATAATTAAAGCTAACAGGTGCTTCGAATTCTGAAGCAAACGGGTTTTTATGTAAAAATGGGTCTACAAAAGCAGAATTTGGTTTTGAAAAGTAATGGTTGACTTCATCTAGCATCAGTTCTGTTGATTGTTTATCATTGTTTTCACCTTGCTTCATAGGAGACATAATTGGCGTCGATTGCGCTGTAACAAACTCTGAGTCTGGAATAGAATCAACAGATTTACTCTGAGGGAGCAAGTTGAGCGGTAAGTTTTTTCTCTGAATATGATGGGCGCCGACATCATCTGGAAAGGTGGGTTTTCTTTTGGTAGGTTCAATCGGTCTGATTTTTTTCCTAACTGCTGGTCGAGCTCCGCTTGTGAGTGGATGTTCTTTCATAGCATCAATACTATCACCTGAAGTACCGCTTGAGATGTCGTTCCTCTTAGCTGATGAACTGTTGAGCATGCCGGTATCGTCCGATCGCAGACTCTCACGATAGGCAGAAGGTAGTAAAACAGGAAGTGCTCCAGAAGATTCTTGATTGTTCTCTAATAAATCTTCCATGAGAACATCGTTGTAAGAAGGAGGAGCTTCCGTGGGAGCGGCTTCCAAATTAGAGGGCAGGCAATAAGCGCTTTGAGCGTCAGAAAATTCTAGCAGCACATGTTTCCTGAAAATTGTACGAAAGAGATATGTTTTTAACTTAGGAAGCCAACTTTGACAAAATAATATTGAGTAGCCTGCTGTTCCAACATGTATTTGAATTTTTACGAGTTACGAGTAATTCCATGAGCCCAATTTTCTGGTTGATAACTTAAATAATAAATAGAAGATTTCAATGAAATAGCGAAATTTGTAAGGTGTCATCATGAAATACAGTGGTTTTATTACAGATCAGGATATCGAAGAATTCCCAAAATCGGAAATTTTGTTTATATAATAAAAAACGTCTATATGGTTATACAGTTAAAATTTTTGAATTAAATTTTATGGAACAAGCTGAGTAGAGCTGAAAAAATTTATATTGGAATATCGAATGCAACCTCGATTAAAATTTATAAGAAGCTCGAAGATAATTATCTAACAGAACCAATGCTGGTTGCTGGATAACATGCGAGAATAAATCAATATACCTCAGCCGCTTCATTTGCAGAACGGTTTTCTCAGCTTCGGACATTTCTCGAGTGGATGGATTCAATTTCCTCAGTGGAGTCTCCAAGATGCGGTCGATTTCGCTCAGGCATTCTTGATATTTTTTTGATGCCTAAGAGTGCAATGAGGAAATGAGTTTTTCTTAAAATTATTTCAGCAGTGAAAATTTTTCTAACAAATGCTCATGAACGATTTCGTTGCTTTCGACTGTATACTCTCATTTTTTGAGTATAGAATAGTGTAACGTTTAATTAACTACCTCGTATTTGCTCACCTCAAGATATTTTGAGTTTTCTGCGTCACGCTTGGCCTTAATTGACATCTCCAGTGCTGCTTGTGAGACCTCTAAAAGTTGTTCATGTGAGGATATTTTGCCTCCTTTCGTGCTCGCAGAAATGACGTTGCTCTGTGACGGCCATTCGTACGGTGTGGAGATTGGCCTGGCGGGACCCGTTGCTGAAGTTCTGTTCAATTCACCCGGTTTGCCTTTCCTGCTTCCATGGTTTACATTTGGTCCTGAACGTGGTGGCTGTTTTTGATGCCGACTGCCTTGTGGGTAGATATTCTTCGGTTGCTGAGGACGCGCTGAAGGTCGAGGAGGCACTTTTGGTTTTTCTACTTCCTGCTTGCCAAGAATACTTTTTATTTTAGAATAAGCTCCTTTCGCTTTACCCTGAGGTTTAGCGATGGCCTCCTGAGTGTTCTGTTCTGTAGATGTTTGCTTCTGAGGAATATTCTTCCTGGGAAGTGGGACCGGAGGCCTACGATGAGGTGGATTGACTTCTTCCGCCATTTAGTGAAGGATTTGAATTATCTTCCCGTATTATTTTGCCCGGTTACTTATTCAGCTTGATCAACTTAACGATTGCTAAATGATATGAATAATCAATTCCAAGCTATCTAATGAATTGGCACTGAGCGACAGAGACTCATCTTGTCTTTATAATGAATTGAATGCACGGTTCAGGGTACGTGTCTCACACATTCCAATTCATCACTGAGTCGTCGTTTCTCGCTGTCCGTCTTTTGTCTTGCTGATTAGATAAGCTAGCTGACTGATAACTGATTCTTTGGAGATTACTCAGCGTAAAAAGAAAAGAGACGGCAAATGAAATGTTCAAAATAAACAGTTGGATAGTTGTCAAAAAACACAATGAAATAATCGAAAATGATATATATTATAATGTCGAGTTAGCGTGGGCAATAGGGGCAATAGAAGATGAAGCAGTTGTAATTTCAGTGCATTTTCGCGAGCAATCTTTCGGAACTACGAATAGTTCTGTGCAAATTGACTTGAAAATTGTCTTGGCTCAAAACTGAAAGTTTTGTTTTGAACGTTTTCAGAACTGCTTTGATCCTCTAAATTTGTAGGTTCTTCTAGAAAACCAGAATTATTCGACATATGGAACAGTTCATCACTTTGCTGTCGAATCATATTTCAATGGTATTTGTTGAGCCTACATCAATCTGCTATGTAATTAATAGAATAAATAATCAAATAGAAGCATTTTATGATTTCGACAGTAGTAAATCGATTCCTTTTTCTATAGTTTGGAGCAGGTAAAAATCCCCGTTTATTATATCGCTTTCAGCGTTTATTAGGCCGTAAGCCTGCCGCTGATTCCTAACATCGCAGAACATTCACTGTATGTTGCGATCTCGACTCATAACTCACTGCTCCAATTCTGCTGTGCTTATCCGCCCAGCCTCCTTGCCGATTCTGACCAGAAACTGGCGAACAGAGCTGGGATCGAACCCGCATATCTCTGCTACAATCTTTGTACATTGAACTGTAACCACTGGCCCACCCTGAATTATCCGTTTGCAAATCTATTCCATCCATGATGATCCCGAATTAGATTGAAATTAATTGAATAAGACAGTTAGAGATAAAGAATCATATTATAGTTTTGATTCTATGTGGATAATTTGAAAATAAATAAATTTACTACTATTTTTGTTTGACGTGATTTTGTTGTGCATCATCGAATCACCAATAATAATGTTAGTTCACTCTAATATCAATAAAAATTGGCATTTAAACATATTTTGAATGTTTAAAGGTAATAATTTTGTTAGGTATATGAAAAATGAACACATTTAACACAAATTGCTCTACGGAGCATTCAATATTATTATGCGAAAAGAATCCACTTCTACGGACGCGTATCTGCCTCCGTTAACATGATGTAAACAAGTTCGGTGAACAGGTT